TATATATATATACAAAAATGTTTATTCATTTACAATGTTGTAATAATACAGTTGTTAACAATTGTAACAATTGTACATTCATCAATCATTTTAAAATTTGTTACACATTATTTCGTTACACATGCAGTTGACAGTTTATACCAGGTGTATAAGTTTAAATTCGCTCAGCACAATAAGACTAGACGACTAGACTGGAGAGGGCGAAGATTTAAAGAGAAATACTGTCCAATCGCACATACCATGTTATCCCTTCACCATGATTTCGACTTTTCACCCCTCCCTCTTTACTCCTGCAAAGAGGGGGATGAGAGTAGCTTCGCAAGGTCGAATAATATTAATATGGGATAAACCCATATATAACAGTATAATTATAAGATGCGTTCGGCAATGTAAATCTGAGATGCGAGCTTGATCACGTAATCTTCGAGCAATCCGAATGCCAAGAATTAATTCCGACTACAGAGCTGTTTTGACTATAAACTGTCCTTTAAAGTTAGATTATAAAATGAAATTGTTTATTTTTATGAATAAATAAAAAATATCCTATTAATTGAAAATTTCTTTCGCTAGAAACTGATAATAGATAATAGTCTTATACTAAAAATAGATCGTTACACATGAATAGCAGACTCATATGCAAGGTGTTTTCTTAAAAAAAAAAAAATACTACATTGCAAAATAAATTTCAGCAATTTATAAATTATATCATTTGATTTATAATCGTTAGAGTCTTTAATATATTAATGCAATTTGATTTTATTAGGTGTACAACTTTGCTTCCGCCGTTTTTTTCCGAAATTCGAGGCTTTATTGTAAAAAACTGGTTATACATTTATGATTCAAAGTATTGTCCATCGCTGGCCACTACTTTCTCCCATCTTTCGGGTAGCGTACGAATCCCGTGTCGAAAAAACTGGTCATCTTTTGAGGTCATCTCTATCCACGAATCGATCCAATTTTTTACTTCTTCATAAGATCGGAAGTGCTGGTCAGCCAGGCCGCGTGCCATTGATCGAAACAAGGGATAGTCAGAGGGAGCAATGTCTGGAGAATACGGCGGGTGGGGTAGGACTTCCCATTCCAACGTTTCCAAGTATGTCTTGACCACTTTCGCAACATGGGGTCGAGCATTATCATGCTGCAAAATCACTTTATCGTGTCTCTCGTTGTATTGCGGCCGTTTGTCTTTCAATGCTCGGCTCAAACGCATCAATTTCGATACCGATCGCCTGTGATTGTTTCAGTCGGTTTTAACAGTTCATAATACACTACGCCGAGCTGGTCCCACCAAATACAGAGCATGACCTTGGACGTCACCGTTCTTGAAGCGTTGAAACCACTCACGACACGTTCTTTCACTAATAGCGGCCTCACCATAAGTATTTGAGAGCATTCGATGAGCCGCTCCGAGATGAGCCTCAACCGCAGATTTCTTCATATTGAAGCAAAAAATTAAAACCTCCCACAAATGACGAGAATTTGGCTCGTAAACTGACATTTTCAATCGAGAATAACTTTATGATGCAGACACAAATCGACACTAATGTTTCTATGGGGTTATGTTAACAGATGCCAGAAGTTAACAGAAGTTTATTGTATGACGTCTATGATCTATTTACTTCGACCACCACTTACCGCTAAAGCCATCTATAGGAAAACGACGGAAGCAAAGTTACACCTAATATTTCATTCTATATGTGCATAAGCTTTGATCTAAAAATTATCTAGCAAATTCTTTGTTTTCGTAACTTCAAATTCATAAAGAAGAAAAAAATTAAAAACTTCTTCGTTAAATATTGTACATAATATACTCAATTTCTATTTGATAGCATTTGTTAGAGCGTTTGTAGACTCAGACATTATAATATTGGGAATACAAATTAGTTCGGTCCGTTTGTTTGTGCATTTATTTCAAAACAATGAACAGTATTGTCCATTGCTTCCTACTACTTTTTCCCATCTCTCAGGCAATTTTCGAATTCCATCTCGAAAAAATGACTCGTCTTTGGAGGCGATTCAATTTTGGAGTCAATTTTCGATTTCTGCGAAAGAAATGAACTTGCTGCATCCTTCGGAACAGCCAGAATCAGAAGGAGCAATGTTCGGAGAATACGGGTGCAGTAAAACATCCCATTTGAGCGTTTCCAAATATTTTTTTATGACTTTAGCGACATGAGGCCGAGCGTTATCATGAAAAAGAATAACTTTATCATGTCTTTGCTCGTATTCTGGCCGTTTTTCTCGCAATGCATGGCTCTAACGAATCAATTGTAGCGATACGGATCATCTGTAATGGAATCGCCAGGTTTCAGCAGCTCATAGTAAACAAGACTCTTTTGGTCTCACCAAATACAAAGCCTGATCTTCGAATCGTGATGTTGATGTTGAGGTCGACGATTGATGGCAACGATTGATCGGGCTTAGCGTAGTATTTTTTCTTCTTGGAGTTTTTGTAGAATATCCACTTCTCATTTCCAGTCACAATCCGATGCAAAAAACCTTTTCTCTGTTGTCTTTGAATCAATGATTGCTGTTCGCAATCAGCTGTTGAAAAATCGCCTTTCAACGTCTCTCGGTTTCAGTTCATAAGGCATCCAATTTCCTTGTTTTTGAATCATTCCCATGGCTCTCAATCGTACAGAAATGGCTTGTTGAGTTACCTCCAATGATTCTGCAAGCTCCTCTTGCGTTTGACTCTGATCTTCTTCGAATAATGCCTTTAATTCTTTGTCTTCGAATTTTTTTGGCTGTCCAGAGCGAGCTTCAACGCTGAAATCTCCATCCTTAAAACGTCGAAACCATTCCCTACATGATTTATCAATTGAAGCAGTGTCATAAACTTCAATAAGCATTTGATGGACTTTAGTCGCATTTTTCTTCCAATTAAAGCAGAAAATCAAAATCTCCCGCAAATGCTGCTTGATTAACACAAAATTCGATATTTCAAATACAGTAAAAATCAAAATTTTTGTATGAAACTCAAAGCGATATAAACTGAATATTATTAGCAGATGTTTAACCTCTCTGAAACTGCCAAAATCAGCTGTCACTATGAATCATTCACAACAGCTGGAGCCATCTTTAGAGAAACGAACCGAACTAATTTATACTACAATAGTTCAAATTATTTGTGTATTCACATTATTTGTAAAATAGAAGTATTAAAAGAGATAAATGTACATTACGTGTTAACGAATCAATTGGATACATTATTATAAATATTCAGGTTATGAATTTAATTTAGGCGCGAAAATCTGCATTAGCTCTGCAAACTCGATCTTTGAATCCGGAGTAGATCAAACTCGATTGGCTCTAGAATTAATATCGAACGCAGATGAGGTAACATGTAGCAGAAAGATGCGAATTGCCAAACGATTTTCAACGAGATAAAAGAGCAAACAGTGCCTCCGATTTGTAATGCCGAATGCATCTATAATAGAAATCATGCGTCCCTTTGCAGGGGAGAGAGATGAGAGTCGCTTCGCGTAAAAAGTCGAAATCCATGTGGAATGTACCACAGTGGAATGTACAATTAGAGACTTCATTTTACTTCTGACAGATTTCCAACCTCAATAGTAATTAACTTTAATGCTTAATATCTCGGTACGCGGAGCCGACCTAACATTTTTTCTTACAAATTCTTTCGTTTCGAGCAAAAACACGTCATATGAACCTAATTTCATTAAAATTGAAGGTGCAATCTGTATTCTAAATAATTATCTTTAAAAATAACATTTTTAGGCTAGGTTGTTCGATCTTTTGATAAACTATGTTTTCACTCTTTTACTCTTTTGTTTATCTAATTGGTAAATTACCACATAGCACAGAGAGAAAAGAAAAAGAATTCAATCAATTGTTATGTCATCAATTTAGAATTCACTTTCAGACACAAAAATTCTGAAAAGAATTTTTTTTACATTTGAAAATGAACTCGAAATTGACATACAACTGAATTCTTTTTGTGCTCGATAGTTTATCTGAAAATGGAACAATCGGCCCATGTTACTATATATATAATATTGTATAAGTTATTATAATGACATTTACTTTAATTTGTAAAACTATTATCCCAGTTTAGTTTAAGATTACGTTTAAAGACTGAAAATGATTTTGACGCGCAGTTGTAGAACTGGATATGTATATAAAATTACATCATTATTTAAACATTAAGATGCAGCATAAATTAACAAGATGTTTTCGTTATTTATTGTGAATTCAAGTTGCGCTTATATAAAAATGATTAATAATAATAAATATTTTAATAATATTTTACGGATATTAAAGACATAATACTAAGGATATTATATAAAGTGGATATATAATATCTAAAGAACATTCGCATATTAAAAAAAACATTGTAATATAATATTCTCGAAATAATATAATATTTTAATTTTTATGATAATATTCATATAACATTCTAGATATAATTTGCGTTTATAAGGAGAATTTATACTTAATTAATTATCTTTAATATTATTTACATGTAAAAACCAATACGGTCTAAAACCGAAGAAACGGTCCTGTTATGTAATATAAAATCTCGATCAATCAAAAACTGAGCTCATTTGTCGCGTGAACGAGTCTTGTGAATTTTTGTGAATAAGGAATCCAATCAACAGGATTAAAAAATTACATTTCTTATTCAGAATTTTGAATTGAAGAGTACTAAATAAGTTAAAATTTAACCAATTACAATTATCAATTTACGATAACATATTTTAAAACTGCCTGATGATTATATGTAATTATAAAAAAGAAAAATTTGGATTGAAAAGGATTCATTTAATGTTTCATTTCGCAAATGCGTTTTGCTGAAGAACTGAATCCATTTCAATTCATTCTCGTTTCATACATGTGGATTATTATATTCTCTTAATAGCTTTTATTACTTTTATTGGATGCAAAAGAAATTAAGAAATAAATTACACCTACTATTTATGTATTTTCTTCCACGATCCTCTTCCATGAAAGAAGAAATCAGATTGCTGACAGTCTCCTCTGTCTTGTAATCAATTGATTTCATACAATCGCTGATACGAAGATACCTGATGCATACAAAACATAATAAATTAAATATTAAGATCTCATTTATCACTGTTCTTAAAAAGATAAATACATATTATGAAAAAATTGATAACTCTCCGTAGCCCATTGCAGGAGTAGTTCAAGCGTTGGTCGATAAGATGTTCCCTTAATTAATTCTTGCATTAATTTGTCCTTTAAAGATATCTTGTTTCTAGCGTTTTCTAAATTAACCAAATAATTCTTCAAATCCTGAAATCGCAGATTCAAATATCGTGTTTTCTAATCGTGTTAACTTGCAGAATGAAGATAATAGGGGAGACCGGGGACAAAAGTAACATTTTCACTTTGAAATGTTATAACAATTTAAATATAATATTTACATTTAAAAAATATCTTGTATCTTTAGATGTAGAATTTACTTAACTACAAAATTTTCTTTGGTTTAATTTTTATATGTAACTAGAAAAAAATTATATTTGTTTAAAGACTAGAGAAATTTTATTACAACTGTCCCAACCCCGTGAAACAATTACAACAGAAGAGGACAATTGTATCACATTTGCCAGAGATACAACTATATAAGTTATATTCTTTCTTGCAGCTGCACAAATCGATAATTAGTCCTTTATAATCTCTTTAAACGTCTGTTTAACGTCTGTTTGTATAAAGGCACTTCTTTTATATAATTTTTCTCTTATCTGTCTTTTCTTAATAACAATTTTATGAAGAAAAATACAAATAACATTGTACAAAATAATACTAAAATAAAATCAAATAATATAGAGTTAAGGGGACTTTTGGAGTCAGCGCGATAAGAGGTGTGTGCGCAATCTACACTTATATAATCATTAATAGTATAATGTGTACTAAAAGTCATTACATTTTTAGACGTGAATAGTTAAGAACATTCGATACATTTTGACGATTTTTAAATTTCATTACAACATACAAATCTTTATACAAATCTTTTTCATATACTCAATATTGTAATATACTCAATATTGTAATATACTTTTATGCAGTGTTATATAGGATTGAAAATGCAATCACTTGTTAACAAGAAGACAGGCAACTTCTTTGTATGATGTTTATGCTTTTCTTACTTTCCGACTGGATATAAGATATTCTCTGTTAATATATTAATTATGTATTTGCTAAAGATGTCTAAAATCGATAGCCGAAATATTCAAACTTACATCTTTTAATACACATTATACTATTAATGATTATATAAGATGATTATATAAGTAGATTGCGCACCTCTTACCGTGCTGATTCCAAAGCCCCCTTAAATCTATATTATAGTACAATTTTACAATTATTAGGAGTCCTATTTTATATATATTCTATTTTATATATATTCTTTTTTTATATATATTCTAAAAAAATCAAATAAGTTCGGGGACAAGTGTAACGTTACAATTAAGGCATCGACTATTATCTCCTAATGGTATTTTATGATTTACAGTAAATTTTTAAAATAAAAAACCTAGATAAAAATCAACTGAAATAACCATTAATGCAGATAATTATTAAAACATTAAGATAATACATTACACCTTCGTTATAAGAAACGAAAAAAAAAATTTTAGATTTTGTATACGCAATAAAACTTACTTAATGTATGGAAAAAGTAATTTTTGCTTCTGCACTCGTATACGTTCCGTGAGAATCAGCATGTAACGAATGATTCAATATATCTACAGAATTTTACGACATATAGTCGCATATTCATATTTATTATAATTTAAGAAATATTAATGATGTTGCTATTGTCCCCTTGTTATTTTTCCGGTCTCCCCTACCTGATTGATATCATTAAATTGCATCAGGATATTCGAAAGAAGTGCAATTTCTTCCTCGAGGTCCATAAGGACTTTAAATATCAATCTTTCCCGCGTTTCCTGATCTATGCTATTTTCTGCTCCGTCTATTTTTTCACTGCAAAAAAATTAATTAATTAATCAATTTGTTTTCTTATATATTATTTATGAAAATAAATTATTAATTTATTTTTAAACTCGAAAACTTACTATTCAAATTTTCGTGACTGTCGATATAAGTACTTTATATTTGCACTTGCGTAGGATTAGATAATTATAAAGAACATTGAGAAAAGAACATTGAGACATCTTACAAGACATCATAAAAACATCCTAAAATTCACGAGACATTTTTTGGAAGTATCCGAATGACATCTTTAAGATGTGTTATGCTTCGATTTACGACATCCTAAAGACATCCTTAAGATATGGCCTTCTACAATAAGCCATTAGTAATCAGAAATTAAAAGCTAAAAATTGATCAATCAATCAAAGTCAGTTTTTAACTTCTGACTTCTGATTTATGACTAGACATCGGATTTCTATGCAATTGCATATTTTTTTAGAGTGCGGAAAGTAAGACTAAAGTAGAAATGTGTCTTATTAAAAAAGTAGTAAAAATGTATATATATTATGTATATATATATATATAAATGTATATATATATATATTTATTTGAGCATATTTTGCATATTTGTACATATTTTGCATATTTGTATATTTTTTGCATATTTGCATATTTCGTGCATATTTACATATTTTTACATATTTTAAATAATTTTATGTATTTTTTATTAATTTCAATGTTATTTTTTTATTAATATCAAGCTGCACAACGACAATTTAACGATATCATTAGTCGTTAAGATTTACGGAATAGGCCTCAAATACGTAAATAAAGTAAAATACGTAAATATTTATCATTACCACTTTGGAACATGCGAACGTTCAGACATTCTGAAATCAGTACGTTGCTAACTGTTATCTTGTGAAGTAGTGAGAGAGTGAATATTATTTCGAAAAATATTATAAAGTTCATAAAATGGGAAAAATTAAAAAGAAGAGATATATTCTAATTAATAACTGGATAAAATCAATGGATGAAAAATATTTTTGATGGAGCAAATATTTGCAACTTATGCAAAAAAAATGTATATTATTTGATATTTCATAGCAAAAAGCATTTTGTATTTGTGACGGTTTATAACAAATAGTCCACTCAAGTCCTTAAAGTTTTGTATTGAATTTGTGTGGAATACGTGAAATATGTTAAATTTTATATTACTGAATTTAAGTATTGTGCACAATCTAATTATATAAATAAATTTTGCTTTCAAGATTTCATGTGAATGGAAATCGCAATTGACACAACATTTAAACACTGCAGTACACAAAAGCAATAAAGCTGAAAATTATGATTTGAATATTAATTTAGAAGATAATATAAAATTCATTTTGTTATGAATTGTATGAAGCAATGATGGTTGTAAATATGTCTTGGCATGAACTCGATAATAAAATATGGAGTAATTTTTTGAAAAAATATACAAATCGAAAAATTCCTAATGAATCGACGCTTCGAAAAAATTATCTTGAAAAATGTTACAATAGAAAAATTCAAAAAATTCATGATAATATTGGTAAAAATTATGTTTGGATTTCTGTAGATGAGACTACAGATTGTTCTAGTCGTTATATAACTAATTTAATTATTGGAAAAATGTGCGAAGATGAATCAAGAATTCTATATTTACTTGCATGTAAACAATTGGAACAAATGAATCATGCAATTATTGCTCGATTTATCAATACAACACTGTTAACACTGTTGGCCAAATGATAATGGAGAAAAAGTATTATTACTCGTCACAGATGCAGCCGTATATACAATAAAAGCTATTGATTATTTGAAAATATTTTATTCTAATATGTTGCATTTAACTTGCTTAATTCATAGATTAATAGAGTCACGGAATAAATACGTTTTTATTTGCAATCAGTTAACAAATTAATATCTTCAGTAAAAAAAGTCATTTTAAAAGTTCCATTTCATGTTGAAAGTTATTAAGAAAAAATGGTACTATTATCTCCTGAATCAGTTATAACAAGAAGGGGAACATGGCAAACAGCATTATTTTATTCAAAATATCTCGCTGAAATCAAAGAGATTTATATTTTTTCTTTTATTATAGTAAAATTTATTAATATGTATAACATATTGTTTATGCATTGGTTATTTTTATTTAAAAATATAGGTGGTTCAATCATTTGCAAATGATACAGGTGGTTCAATCATTGTAAATGATATTACATAAAAATAGTTCAGGAAGTATTGCAAAATAAACAACTTGATAATGATTTGGTATATATTCAAACTCACTTTAAATATTTACCAAAAATTATGAAAAAGTTAGAAATGAGAGGTATATATACCTTTAACTAAGCTCATGGATTTGGTAACTAATATTATAGAAAATATTTTTAAAACACCAGATGGAAAAGAAGTTATTTTGAAATTTAATTCAGTCTTAAAAAGAAATTCTGGATTTACTACAATTTCAAAAATAAATGAAATTTTGGAAATAATGTTGAAGGGTCCCATGAAATTCCAGCACACTATTGGAGTAAATATAAATATGCTCCCATCTTGATGTAAAAATGAACATAAAATGTTCATTTTTTTGCATATAAGATGTTATTACATAATGCGATCATTAATCTGTCATATAGACAGTGGATTGTATAGACTAGTGCTTATTGATTTGGGGCGACTACGCCACCTCGAACAAAAGAAATAACATATCCTACTCGCTTGGGGCCTAACTACCTAAAAGTTATAGCTTACACAGGAAAAAGCTTTAAAAAAATTGTTGTCACACTTCACTATCTTCATGGAGTAGAAATATTCCAAGCGGACACTAGGCTTCAACTTCTAGACGATTAGGTTCCAAACGGGTAGGATATATTTTCTTTTGGTTCGGCGGAGCCGCTCAATATCTCGCTTCGTAGAGCAGTCCCGGACGTTTTTCTATCAGATTCTTTCATTTTATGCAAAAATGCGTCGAATGAGCCTAATTTCATAAAAATCGAAGGTAGCTCTTCTGAAGAATTACTCTCATTTTGTTTCTGACAGATTTCCTAACCTTAATAGATTATCAACTTTAACGCTCGGATCACAGGATAGGATGACGCTTTTTTTGCCAGATTATTTCATTTCATGTAAAAACGCAAATCGAATAAGTCTAATTTTATTGATCTTTAAGGTAATTATGTTAAACTGTATAATTATCTGAAAATATTTGAAAGATGTCTAAAAGGCTCTTTTGGAAAAGAGTCTTAAAGAGTTTAGTTCAAGACATTTTTTAGATGTCTTTCAGACATGCATGTTCTCTGAGATATTTTATTTTCTCGTGTAGTAACAAAATGTTTTATTTATACTTTATAATAATGTTTCATTTTTTTATCTTGTATACATTCATTTTGATTTCCGATTTATTATTAGTTTCAAGATGTATTGAAAAAACATTGTGTTTCTAAAATCAATTATTTGGATGTCATTTTTTCTATCCTCGCTTTGCCAAGCGCAATCATACCACCTATTTTACTCCAATCTACTTCCCTCAAAATTCCGCAATAGCAGATCATCGCGCGATCGCTAGAAAAACCTGCAATTGTTGTCTACTTACTTCGTGACATGGCGCAATTGCTCTATTCGATTAGCTAGACCTTCGAGCGATCTCTCAGCCTTTTTCGATAATTCCTTCCATTTGTCATCCAGCCTTTCTAGACGTAAAAAATAGCGTACGAGACACATGTGAAGCTCCCATGCCATCTTTGAATTCCCAAGTGGAATGTCGAGATTAACGACATAAGTGATCTGTTTTCTGTTTCTGCATTAGACTGCACTAGCACTCTCTTTCTCACTGTCAACAAATATGTACCTATCTCACTTCAAGTTCCAAAAATGTTCAGTCACAGAAAACCTAAAATCTATACCTTTTACTCTTAGCATTGCATGAAATCCCCAAATATTTTTGCACTTAAAATGAGATAGATATTTTACCTTGAAAAAAGAGAAAGGTAAGAAGTCGAGTGTCAAAAGTGCAAACAACGCGAACAGACCTATATATAGGCAACATATAAGCTGCTTTCCTTTTAGGAGACACAAATTGACACAGTATAACACACTCGAACACAGTTTGCCATACTTAAATGGAACGCGTATGTACAGTGTGTACGAACTTTTAATACCTTAAAAGATTTGAATTTTTTTTTATTATTGAAAATAATAAAAAATCTTAATATAAAATTATTTGTATTAAGTAATATATATATATATATATATATATATATATATATTACTTAATATATAAATTATTTTTTTATTTATTCTTAACATAAAAAATATATTAAAAGTATATATTTGCCATTGTAATTTTTGATTAACATACATTGATTCAAATAATTCTGTATATTGAAAACAGAACAAAATAATGGTTGCAGGTATGTTCTAATATCTTAACTTATACTTAATTCATCAAAATCACACTTGAACAGACTTGAAACACACTCTGACTCTCCTCTCGAGCAGAAGTGAAATGTGTCGATCGAGTTTGAACAAAATTGTAAATGGAAAGCAACGTGTCGATTTATATCAAGTGTGTCGAATGTGTCTCCTAAAAGAAAAGCAGCCATACTTAGACTAAGGGTACGATCAACGCGATGCTGCATCAAACCATGCTTCAAAGCATTTGTAGCGAGATTTTGACCACAGCCCCAAGCTATTCTGTTTGCAACGTTCGTCTACTTTCTGCGACTAGTGCTGTCAAGAACACATAACCTTTTTTTATATATATTATTCGCAAATACAACACATTTTCGTTATTTTTATTTCTCTCTTCGTATTGTACTTTGAACGATGCAAAAAGGTTAATTGAAAAGAATACATTATAATATGGGTCCACCTAAACTGTCAATTTTCGGCTTCAACCCCTACCATTGAAAAGCATGGGAATGCTAGGTATATATTGGCTCATGCACAAAACGCTTGCCGCGCGGCGAAAGTTGGATTGAGTTCAACTTTTGTCGCGTGGTGGAAATTATGGGTGCGTTCCGTTTCTTGCATGAAGCGCATAAGTATTTAGTGCATAGCAAGGAATGAAGGGTATGTTCCGTTTCTCCAATATACTTCATGCAATTTAGTAACGGAATGGATTCGGTGCAATGAATGCAGTGAACATGGACGACAATTTAAAATTGACTGAATTACAAATGCATTCAATAATTACTGTTATATCTTTTTTGACAAAATTTATATTTTTCAAGCAGCATTTACAATCTTATTCTGCAGAAAAAGAAAAATGAAACGTTTTATCAAAATGTTCAAAAAGAATGTTTAATATCTATTTCTAAAATATTAGAAATTTAACAAAAATTTTACAGATTATTCTTACATATGTTCAGACACTTATAACAAAATCCGAAATCGATTCACTGTGAAGCAACTTGAAATTATAAGAGTTTAAAATATAAAGATTTTAAGGTTAGATTTGAGATACTATCATTATCAAAAATTTTTCATTTTTTTCAGAAATAATAAGCAATAATAGAAATTCAAAAGTACATTTCTGCATTTTAGTTATGAGTAAATGATAAGATTCTGTATACAATCTTTATTCAAACCATATGAAAACATATTCGTCAAAATCAAATTTCACTTTTTGCTACAATTATACATATGAAACATCCTTAAAATCCGTTATTTTTACTTTTCTTTACCTATATTTATCTTGTAAGGATATGACTTAAGTTCTATCATAACTAACTTCTATCATAATCTATTTTATATTCAGGAATTTAAAACAATATGAAAAATAGTGGTAATATATCAATATTATTAATTTTTCAGTATTATATAAATCAGGGACTAAAAACCGATATTCTATAGCAGTATACGCAAAACCGAGATCAAAATACCAATATTGGACATTAAATACCGGTATTCAACCGAAATTTTCATAATATTAGTATACGTATAATTTTTCGGTAATGAGTATTATACCGTATATATATATATATATA